ACAGACACACCCTTACCCAAACAGACATGACATACACATCTCCTGGTGAACAGGTAAGTCTTTTGACAATGCCCTTTGCCTTAGTTTTAAATATGCCTGTTGATAGAGAACTTGACCTTTGACCTGCTTTCACGTTTCTGAGCTCTGACGAGATACCTTTTCACAATGCTTTACTTTTTCAAGGCCCGTGCTGCTTTATTTTTACAAGGCCTGAGGCCTATATCGGGTAAAGGCCCTTTTATGACAGGTTTCCCCTGAGCCATGAGGCTCTGATTTTATTCAAAAGACAAAAGGTGCTGCAGAAGAGATACAGAGTATAACTCATAGGCCATTTGAAGTGCTCTCAAAGGGCACAGAGCTTGATGGATATGTTCTTCTCATGGCACCATGCTAAATTTTAAATGCATGACCCACATGGCCCCTCGGGACATTCGTTAAAATTGGAATGACAGTAATATGATACAAAGAAGATTAGCATCATCCCCACACACTTTTCATGGTGGAACAGCAGGATGTCCGGCCCATTTCTTTTTATTATTTTTTTTTTTTTTTTTTTGGTTTTGAAAACAGGTCCTTACGGCCCTGGCTCCATTTCCATTCTGGGGAGCATCAGTCCGGTTCCTATTTCACCGGCAAGTCAGAAAGAAATATTACATCATGACACACACTCGCGCTTCCTTCTAACCGGCCGAAGGAACCCTGACCCGCATTGATTACTCCCACGTCGTGGAGGGTTGACTGTCAGCTTGCCTTACTTACACCTTTCCTCTCAGGTCCACTACATGAGCCTGCCAGATAAATAATGAAGAGCAAGAAAGGTAAGAGAAGCTACGGAAGTTGCAGTCTCGGGATTCGCCCTCCAATATTATGTGACCTGTGATGGATGTTGTCCTTCTGCTGGCTGGGATCTCTGCCTTCTCCACCCTGCTTCTGAGTTGTGTCAGTCTTTCCATTGTATGTGGAAGTCATTTATCTCTGCCACTTTGCCCCTTGCAAGCCACACCTTAGTGAATTTTGCATTGATACCTCTCTGTTGATCTTCGTCATCTGGCATGGACTGTCTCGTCTTGTGCCACTTACAAAGGATCTCCGCTTGAATCGAAGTCTTTGTCTCCACCCATACCTTCTCCCTTGGTGTTGAGAGTCCCTCAATGGTTCTACAGCACCTTTACTTCCAGATGGACCACAACGTTACCTTTCTGATCATTCCAAACCACGTTTTCTCTGTCTTGTGGAATTGAGCTGGGATGTTAGTCCATAGGAGTTGGATGGGATGTTCAGGGAGGGGAGATGAGAAGAGGGAATCCCAGAGATCCGAGGCCCTCGCCCAGTATTCGGTTGCCTCTCTACAGCGTATCAGGCAATGTAGCATATCTTCTGGTTCATTTTCTGAACATCCCGCGCATAAATCTGAACTGTTAGGGTCATTCTTGCTTCTTCTGATATGCAACCACTGGTTGACCGGTAGAGCTACGTATGAGATGAGCCATTGTAGGGCTTCTGATTTTAACCGGATGAATTGACTTGAATTTTTCCATGGTATTTGTGGGATCTGACTAGCGTCTTGACTCTTGACCTATTAGCTTCTGCCATCTGTTCTTGATCGTTGGTTCAGGATCCTTTGTTTTGAGGAGTAAGTTGTAAGCCAGCTTGACTGTGTATTCCTGAATGGAGACATTAGTTTTGAGGCTTCTGCTTCGGTCTGGTGTCCAAGCCCACTTGGCCGGATCAAATTCCAAGTCTTGAATCGCCGCATCTATTCTGAAGATTGTTTTCGGCCATGAACCCAGCACTCTGACCTTTCTGAGTACCAAAGGATTTAGGACTGTTCTTTCCACCTCCGTATTCATGATGGATGGAAGGCCTTGCGTGGAGGGGGTAATTGGGAAGGAGCTAAACACCGCCAGGGTATCCGGCCCTTGCTGTTTATGGGAGAATTGATAGGCCTTTGTGGGGGTTAAATCCTGCACCCTCACTCCCCACTCACCCGATTTCCAAGTTGAGCCTTCACTCAACAACTCCTTCCAGCCTTCTGGGATGCAGTTGATAATACATTGTAATTTCTCATCTCGTCGGTGACATCCTTTGAGCTGGGAGGCAAGTTCCTGGTCTGTCATCCAGTCCTTTTCCTCCTTGTTCCACAGATGGCTCACTTTCCAAACTCCACGTTTGATCCATGATAACCATCTCCTTCCTCTAGGCTCAACGGATAGTTGGTGATCACTTCCATCTCTCACCCATGGATTACCAAACAAGGGTTGCCTCAGTACCTCTTCTTTGGATTTGGGTCTACCCACTTTCCTTGGCATGACTTCCCGCCATATCCGTAAGAATGCAGTCCAATATGGTGTAGGGGGTCTGGCTTCATTTGGCTCGGTTCCTCTTCGTTGATTTCTGCGCCCTGTATTTGGACTCCATTCCTTGGTCATTACCAGAACAGTCTGGACATATTTGCTAGTGTGGCTGTAGGTGCTAGAGCCCTAATGCTGTCTAAGGCCAGTTTATTCCATGCCGTACCAGGTTTAGTCAGTAGTTTGACTATCCATTTGACTTGTAAGGCTTTGGTTTCCTGTTTGGGGTCTATGATACCAAGACCTCCTTTGGCTGGTTTCCTTGTGATGTAATGCCAAGCTATCTTTGGTATGCATTTCTCTTTGTTTGGGTCACCCGACCACAAGTATGCTCTTGCTTTACGGTTAAGTCCTTGATTGTATGGTCCGGAACAGTCCAGATTGACGCTATGTACCACATCATAGAGAAAATAGATGTATTAATGGCTAGTGCACGCCCCAGCAATGATGTGAATGTATTACCCCATCTGCCCAGTTTGTTAATTTGTTTGGCGATTATATTTTGGGCCATTTGAGGGGCGAGGCCATCCTTTGTCAGCAAGATGCCTAGATATCGCGTAGGTGTCTCCGGTGTCTCCCATGTCATGTCTGCCTCAGGGCCCTGACGTTGGGGAACCTCCTCTTCCGATAGCCACCAGCCGATTGTTTTCTTCCAACTAATCTTCATTTATGATGCCAGTCTGAATGCTTCCACTGCTCTTACTAACGCGCTGAACGACGATTCTGAAGCTATTATGAGGACCATGAGATCGTCTGCAAATATTATTACTGTCGGGAATGTCGTGGGTTGATCCTACATTGACCTCTGGTAGTCTGTGTATGGAGGGGTCTTTGCGTAGGAATGAGGTTATTGCTTGCATAACGAAGAGGAAGATTGGGGGAGCTATCGGGTCCCCTTGGCACACTGACAGAGACATTGGATAGCAGTTAGAGAGCAAGTCATTAACTTGGACGCACCCTATGGCGTCATTATATAGAATGCGCACCCACTTCCTAAAATTCGGGCCCATTCCCATCTTTTCCATGCTTCCATTGAGAAAGGTCCAGTTGACCTGGTCATAGGCATTTTCAATATCGAAAAAGAGAATTCCTGTGTTTATCCTTTTTTCTTTGACTTTGTTGGCCGCTTCGCTGAGAGTCAATACGTTATCCAAGATGTACCTCCCAGAGATGAAACCTGTTTGACCTATATAAAAGCATTTGTCTGTTAGGTCTAGGATCCGAAAGGCAAGAGTTTTGACAAGCATCTTATAAGGAAGTGTTAGAAGCGAGATGGGTCTATAGTTCCTGATATCTTCTCTCTCTCCTTTTTGTACAACAGAGTGACCATGCTGCTACTCAGTAGGTTTCCCAGTCCCCCCTTGAGTCAGCTGTCATTGTAGAAGTTTAGCAAATCTCCTCCTAAGAGCGGCCAGAACTTTTCCCATAATTCTTTTGTCAGCCAGTAGATTCCTGGAGACTTATTGTTGTTCATATTTTGGACAGCAAATTGCAGTTCCTCCAGGGTGATGGGTTTGTCCAGATCTTCTTCTTGTTCTTGAGATATCGTTTGTTCCAGGTATTGCAGCATCCTAGTCCATGCCTCTCTGCTGCTGGG